ATTTGTGCACTTCAAATGAGGACGGGGGAGAGGGTGAGGAAGGCATCCACATGGTGGGGAAGGAATGGGAACAGAAATGGGAGCTTGGTTACTGCAAGGGGAGTGATCTAATAAGTAATATTTAAGGATCATGGCAGTCAGAGAAGGGCCTTAGAGACGCTACCCGCTAGCACCAACGAGCACACTGACAATTCAGACCTCGGTTTCTTTCCTTTGAAAAAATTTGTTTTTTTTCTGTGGCCCAGGGTGGAGTGCAGTGGCATGATCTCAGCTCACTGCAGCCTCGACCTCCCAGGCTCAAGTGATCCTCCCACCTCAGCTTTCTGAGTAGCTGGGACTACAGGCTCACACCACCATGCCTGGGTAATTGAAAATTTTTTTTTGTACAGATGATATCTCACTATGTTGCCCAGGCTGATCTCAAACTCCTGAGCTAAATTGATCCTCATGCCTAGGTCTCCCAAATTGTTGGGATTGCAGGCGTGAGCCACTGTGCCCGGCCCTCAGTTTCTAAATACCATTTGCGCCAAAAGGAATGAAGGCCCCTTAAAGAAATAGCTGATTCCAGGGCTGGGGCAGGTGAAGCACAAGGTGTATCCGGAGGCCGGGCGCGGTGGCTCAAGCCTGTAATCCCAGCACTTCGGGAGGCTGAGATGGGTGGATCACTTGAGGCCAGGAGTTTGAGACCAGCCTGGACAACATGGTGAAACCCTGTCACTACTAAAAATAGAAAAATAAGCCAGGCTTGGTGGCATGTGTCTGTAATCCCAGCTACTCAGGAGGCTGAGGCGGGAGAATCACTTGAACCCAGGAGGCGGAGGTTGTAGTGAGCCGAGATCATGCCACTGTACTCCAGCAGCCTGGACAAGAGAACAAGACTCTGTCTGAAAAGAAAAAAAAAAAACAAATCTTTGCAGATGTAATTAAGTTAAGAATCCCAGCACTCTGGGAGGCCGAGGGAGGTGGATCACTTGAGCCCAGGAGTTCAAGACCAGCCTGGGCAACATGGCAAAACCCCATCTCTACAAAACAAAACAAAACAAAGTACAAAAATTAGCCGAGTATAGTGATGTGTGCCTGTAGTTCCAGCTACTCGGGAGGCTGAGGTGGGATGATTGCTTGAGCCTGAGAGGCAGAGGTTGCAGTGAGCCGAGATCTCACCACGGCACTCCAGCCTGGGTGACAGAGCCAGACCCTGTCTCAAAAGAAAAAAAAGGGCCGGGTGTAGTGGCTCACGCCTGTAATCCCAGCATTTTGGGAGGCCAAGGTGGGCGGATCATGAGGTCAGGAGATCAAGACCGTCCTGGCTAACACAGTGAAACCCCGTCTCTACTAAAAATACAAACAATTAGCCAGGCATGGTGGTGGGCACCTGTAGTCCCAGCTACTTGGGTGGCTGAGGCAAGAGACTGCGGTGAACCCAGGAGGTGGAGCTTGCAGTGAGCCGAGATTGTGCCAGAGCGCCACTGCACTCCAGTCTAGGCGACAGAGCGAGACTCTGTCTCAAAAAAAAAGGAAAAAGAAAAAAAAAATCTTGAGATCATCTTAGATTATCCAGACAGGCCTTAAATTCAATGACAAGTGTCCTTCTGAGAGACACCCAGAAGAGAAGACACAGAGGAAGTGATGTGAAGATGGAGGCGCAGGTGATAATGCTGCACTACAAGTCAAGGGACACCAAGGAATGCTCAACAATCCCCAGAGGCTGAAGGAGACAAAGTATGATTCTCTCCTAGGGCCTTGGGAGCGACTGTGGTGCAGGTGACACCTCAATTTTGACTTCTAACCCCTAGAACTGTGACAGAATAAAGGTCTGAATGTCTATTGTTTTAAGCCACCAGTTTGTGGGAATTCATTACAGTAGCCACAGGAAACATACAGTGGCAGATACCACTTTATGATTAAAGCAAACCTCCTCAATAACGGAACAAATCCAAATCATGCACGCCAGGGGTGGTGTGTGCACCAGTAGTCCCAGCTACTCAGGAGGCTGAGGCAGGAGGATTATGAGGAGTATGAGGAGTACGAGGGGTACGAGGCCAGCCTGTGTGACATAGTGAGACTCGTTCTTGAAAAAAAAAATAATAATAAAAATAAAAATAGAGCCAGGGCCGGGGCCCGGCGCAGTGGCTCACACCTGTAATCCAAGCACTTTGGGAGGCTGAGGCGGGTAGATCACTAGGTCAAGAGTTCGAGACCAGCCTGGCCAACATGGTGAAACACCATCTCTACTAAAAACACAAAAATTAGCCAGGCATGATGGTGTACACCTGCAATCCTAGCTACTTAGGAGGCTGAGGCAGGAGAATTGCTTGAGCCTGAGAGGCGGAGGTTGCAGTGAGCTGAGATCATGCCACTGCACTCCAGCCTGGGTGACAGAATGAGACTCCATCGCAGAAAAAAAAAAAAAAAAATTGAGCCAAGCATTGTGGCTCATGCCTGTAATCCCAACAATTCAGGAGGCTGAGGCAGGAGGGTCACTTGAGCCCAGGAGTTCAAGGCTTCAGTGAGGTGAGATTGCGCCATTGCACTCCAGTCTGGGTGACAGAGCCAGAACCTTCTCTCTTTTTTTTCTCTTTTGAGTCAGGGTCTGGCTCTGTCATCCAGACTGGAGTGCAGTGGCACAATCTTGGCTCACCGCAACCTCTGCCTCCCAGGTTCAAGCCATCCTCCCCATCCCAGCCTCCTGAGTAGCTGGGACTACAGGCAGGTATGGCCAAACCTAGCTAATTTTTCTATTTTTAGCAGAGACAGGGTTTTGCCATGTTGCCCAGGCTCGTCTCAAACTCCTGAGCTCAAGCAATCCTCCCTCCCTGGCCTCCTAAAGTGCTGGATTACAGGCGTGAGCCATCACACCCAGCCCTGAGACTCTGTCTCTTAAAAAAAAGGAAAAAAATCTTGCATTATTTGATAGGATGCAAAGAGAGGGGCTCAACATTGCTTCTTCGACGTCACTGCCAAGATAGATAACCTAAATCTTATCATGAGGAAACATCAGAGAAACCAAAATTAAGAGACCTTCTATAAAATAACTGGACTATAACCTTCAAAAATGTTTAGGTCATGAAAATCAAGGAAAGGCTGAGGTATTCCAGATTGAAGGAGACTGAAGAGACTTTCAATGAGTAATTCTGGACAGGATCCTTTTGCTATAAAGAACATTATTGAAACAACTGCCAAAATTTGAATAGGATCTGAAGATTAGATGATATTAATATATTTATGTTAATTTCCTAATTTTGATGGCTGTATTGTGATTATGTAGGAGACTGTCCCTTGTAGGAAATACACACTAAACTATTCGGGGTGATGGGGCATCCTGTTGACAATTTACTCTGAAACAGTTCAGGGAAAAAGGTTCTGTGTAATGTACTTCCAACTTTTCTTGTGACTGCTTCATAATAAAATATTTAAAAAATAAAGAAAAAAGGGCTAGGCATGGTGGCTCATGCCTGTAATCCCAGCACTTTGGGAGACCAACGCAGGAGGATCATTTGAGGTCAGGAGTTCGAGGCCAGCCTGGCCAACATGGTGAAACTCTGTCTCTACTAAAAATACAAAAATTAGCCAGACTTGGTGGCATGAGCCTGCAGTCCCAGCTGCGCTGGAGGTTGAGGCATGAAAATGGCTTGAACCCGGGAGGCGGAGGCTGCAGTGAGCAGAGATCTTGCACTGCACTGCACTCCAGTATGGGTAACAGTGAGAGACTCTGTCTCAAAAAAAAAAAAAAAAAAGGAAAGAAAAAAGGATACCAATCATATAAATGATTGTATATGTATATGCATATTGTCAAAGACTGGAAGGCAAATAGACTGGAAGGAAATTAATAACAATAATGTAATAAATATTAAGGAGGTAAGATTGTTTATAACATTCCTCTGCTTTCGAATCTTTTTTTTTTTAATTTCAGTGATGGGGTCTCACTCTGATCATAGCTCACTGCAGCCTTGAACTCTTGGGCTCAGGAGGTCCTCTCACCTTAGCCTCATGAGTAGCTAGGACTACAGGCATGCACCACCATGCCTGGCTAATTAATTTTTTTTTTTTTTTGTAGAGACAGGGTCTTGCTGTGTTGCCTAGTCTGGTCTCAAACTCCTGGCCTCAAGAAATCCTCTGCCTCAACCTCTCAAAATGCTGGATTGTTGGCATGAGCCACTGTGCAGCCCTGACCTTAAATCTTTTGAGTTTAGTTCAGTAAATATGTGCTGAGGACCTACTATGTGGCAGGCATTGTGCCAGGTCCAAGGAATACTGAAAAAAGTCACAATGCTGGCTTGTAGTCTGTAAGAAAGAGAATCCTGGGATAAGGATGAGTGCTGCCAGATGCTGAGGACAGGGGACACCTCACCCCAGTGAGGGTGCAGAGGGAGAAGTGTTTCAAATAGGTACTCTTGCTTTTCTATTAATAACAACAATACCAGGCATGGTGGCACATGCCTGAAGTCCCAGCTACTTGTGAGGCTGAGGCAGGAGGATCACTTGAACCCAGGAGTTTGAGTACAGACTGGGCAATATAGCAAGACCCAATCTCTTTAAAAAAGTAAAAAAGGAATAATAATCATGCATGTTGGGCCTCTCTGAAAGATGTAGGGAGTCCTATCTGCATTGGGATCCCTGAGGAGGGAGAGGAATGTGGAGAATTCAGAGTCCAGGGAGCATGGGCGGCTGGTGGGCTGGGCTTCCAGGCTGAATCATGGGAAAGAAGAACCTGGTCTGAAACAGTACTGGGCGGGATTGGTGTTAGATTCCAGAAAAAACCCCAGGCGGTCTGTGGTGGAACCTGATGGATCCCTCAGAAGGGAAGAGAATGGGGATGGGGCCAGGTTACCATGGTTGATCATTGTGCATAGGCACTAGAGGCCACGCTGGGCAGGCACAGTTGCTGCTGCAGCCTCACATCCTCATCTGGACATGGCTGAGCAGGGCCCCTGGAGCTGGTCCCAATGTGTTTCCTTCTATTCTTTTGACAGGAAGCTCCTGGAGAGCCAGTCCCCACCCCCACCCCGCCCCAGCTCTCCCTCTCTCTTCTCCACTATGGACAGAGCCTCCACTGAGCTGCTGCCTGCCCGCCACATATCCAGCTGACATGGGCACCGCAGGAGCCATGCAGCTGTGCTGGGTGATCCTGGGCTTCCTCCTGTTCCGAGGTAAGAGGCGCCTGCCACTTTTCCACAGCAATTCCTCTCCGCAGCTGGCCATTCTAGGCGTCAGTCCCTTTCTCAGAATACACATGCTTTCCATCCAGGGACTGTGCCCAGGGGAAATTCCAGAGCCTTTTCATGAAGGGGATCAGTTGGATTGGGGGTCCTGATTACCAGGCAGGGGTAAATGGAGCTATGGTTAAACCCTCTTGTGGGAAATTGCCCTGGGGGAGCTGGGCTCCCCATAGAGGCTGGCCTCCTGAATCGTGGGAGGGAGCTGTGTTCGTGCGAGACCCAGGCCCAAAGCTTCTTCTAGGATGTGCTCAGGCTATTCATGACGCTCATCCTCTGATCTTCGGGAAGGGCTGACGACGGCCACTCTATCAACTGTTCTAAGACAAATCCTCTGCACCTTGGGCTTCACAGGGAATCTGTTCTCTCCTTTCACATGAGAAGTAGCAGCCTAGGAATTCCAAATGTTGATTTTAAACTTAAATCACAGCAAGAGGGACTCAGGTTAGACACAAAGAACTGTTCACCAAGGAGGATGTGCATAACATTCTCACATCCAGGGGCTAGAGGAGATGACCTCCAGAGGAGGCTACACGGAAACGGCACCTCTCCGACAGGCTCTGCCAGCCAATGAGTTGTGAAGCCACTCATAGGGGTCCTGGCATCAGGGAGCAGTTGCTGGGAATCATGATGAGTCCAGGACATTTTGACTCACAGGGCAGCAACTTCCCTTTGACCATCTCTGCCCTGCCCCCACCTCACCCTCTACAAGTCCTCTGTGCTCAAAGCAGCAGAAAGAGTGCGCAAGAGGGTTCGGATGGGGAGGGGTGGTGGCCCCCCATCGGTGGTGGGTAAGAGGCCTGAGTACCAGAACACTGCCTCCTGGAGAGGTCAGGCATTTCTCTAAAAGCCCATGGGCTGGAGGACAAAACTCTGATTGTCTCCATCCCCTTCTACCCCCTCCATGACAGAGTCACAGTTCTCGGGCTGGGGGTCTAGGCTGTTGTGGAAACTGCAGGTGAGGCTCATGAGGTGGCATTTCCACAGGCCTAGACTTTTCCCAGCCTCCCTACACACTGTTTTCTCCAGGCAAGTGCCAGGGCTCTCAAATGCCCTGTGTCAGCTCTACCTAAGCCGCTATCACTGCCCCCCTGAGTTTCCTAACCTCTCATCCTGAAGTGTGCAGAGCACTTCCTGGCTCCTTCATCTTGAGGGACTGAGGAATCCTGAGCACATTCAGGCCCATAAAGGGACTTGACTATGGATACTCAGAGGCAGGGCAGACTTGAGACCTGGAGGATTTGAGAGAATGGGGCAAAAACAAAAGCGTCTGGTCTTCATTGAGCTTGTCAGGTACTGCGTTAAGTGCTTCATATGCATTTTCCTTCCCTCATAACAATTTGCGAGGTACTAATACCACTTGCATTTTACTTAGTTATTTTTGAGACAGGGTCGCTCCACTGCCCAGGCCAGAGTGCAGTGGCGTGATCATGGCTCACTGCAGCCTTGACCTCCTGGGCTCAAGCAATCCTCCTGCCTTAGCCTCCTGTGTAGCTGGGGGCTACAGGCACAAGCCACCACACCTGGCTAATTTTTGTATTTTTTTGAAGAGCAAGGTTTTACCATGTTGCCCAGGCTGGTCACTTGCACTTGAAAGAAAACTGAGTCCTAGGCCAGACAGCAACAATGCCAGGACTTGAACTCAGGCTTGCCGGGCTCCATTAACACCCACGATTTTAACTACTAAACTATGCTTCTGAGGAAAATGGGGAGGGGTGCGTGTGGAGATAGACTAGAAGGGGATAACGCAGACAGGATTAGAGAGGGGAAACCAGGGAAATCAGAAATTCCTGTGGCTAGAGCTCTTTGGGCGTCTGCAGGCCCCGTGGTCAGAGACACCCTCTGCTGTAGACACAGATGCTCGCTAAGTCCCTCCCCTACTCACAGAGGAATCTTTGTTGGTGACAAGAAGTTTGGGTAGTGGGAGGGGCAAGAGGCAAGGAAAGAGCAGGCTAGTGGGTCTTGAAGCTTGTGACTTTGGAACTCCTCCTAAGCCACTGAATAGTTTTCTTTCTAGATAAATGCAGAAGGGCAGTTCCTTGTGCCTTCCCACCAAAAATTAAGTTATAACCTTACAGCATTTAGATAGTACATTAGGCCGGGCATGGTGGCTCACGCCTGTAATCCCAGCACTTTGGGAGGCTGAGGCGGATGGATCACCTGAGGTCAGGAGTTTGAGACCAGCCTGGCCAACATGGTGAAACCCCATCTCTATTAAAAAATATAAAAATTAGCCGGGCATGGTGGCAGGCGCCTGTAATCCCAGCTACTCAGGAGGCTGAGGCAGGAGAATCCCTTGAGCCCAGGAGGCGGAGGTTGCAGTGAGCTGAGATCGTGCCACTGCACTCCAGCCTGGGTGACCAAGAGAGAAACTGTCTCAAAAAAAGAAAAAAAAAGTACATTAGATATGCTGGATTAGTAACTGATAGATGTTTTCAGGTCATGCCTCAGGTTAAAAAGATTCTCCCAGGGTCATCCCCAGCTAGAAAGGGTTTTCTCTAGCCTGGGCTTCCTGTAAATTTTAACTCCCCTCTTGACCATCCTCCTCCCCGCAACAAGGGAATGGGACTCTCAGAAATGGTGATCTAGAAAAACATGGCCCAGGGTTTGGTAATTTTACACTTGGAAACAATTAATTCTACACTATCCAAATGATAGCCCCATGGAGGAAGGCAGTGGCTTAAGGAAAATACGCACAGCAGCAGGCTGCTACAGGCAGGGGTGGACCCCTGGCACCCAGCCGCCTCTGTCCACCCAGGCCTGGGCTGAATGCTCCCCTGATGCTGAGAGGCCAAGGGAGCAGCAGAGCCAGGCCAGGGGCTTCAGTCCCCACTCAAACAGAGGGACGGGAACCAGTTGGGCGGCTCCACTTCCCCACGTTGTTTTCCTTTCACATTGTTCACAGGTTTCAAGAATGATTTCATTGTGGAAAATGAGCAAATACAACCTGACCTTTCAGGTTCCACATACACAGCAGGACACACACAGGGGCACATGAGCATGCACTCACTTTTGCACAGAGCCCCGCAGACACACTTGTACATACAAAAAAGCCACTGAGGGCTTCTGGCTGGGGACTCTTGGTGACTGACCCCTCTCTGGGTTTGGTCAATAACAACCATGTCCTATGTATCCTCTGCCTGTAAAAGTGAATGGGTTGCTCATGCTAGAGCTTCCCTGCCTCCTATATATACCTCAGAACTTACTTCCTGCACAGGCCCCTACCTCCAGCCAAGATACAAGCCCTAATCCCCATCCCCATCTCACTCACCTTCCCATCTCTCAGCCCCTTCCCTGGGGGCAGGACTAGGGTGACAGTAGCTTAGGGTAAACATTAGCCTACGGACCTGGAGTCCTGGGGGGTTCCTTGTCAAGGTGTGGCAGGTCCTCTGTCCTTCCTTAGAAATGTCACTAGTTTAAAATAACCTTCCCCTGACCCTGCATCACGTTGGTAAAATGCCCATGTTAGATTGAAGAGACAGGGAAGGACTTCGGGACCCTGAGCCATGAGGTGATGGTGATGTTGCTATTGAGTCACAGTCTCGGAGGAAGCCAGCACCGTGAGCCACAGCCCGCACCCTTTAGCCCTCTGCCTAGTGTGTCTGCCTTCTAGCATGGTAGGCTTAGAAAGCCAAAAGGGTTTTTTCTGTTTTCTTTTCTTTTTTTTTTTTTGAGGGATGGAGTCTCACTTTGTTGCCCAGGCTGGAGTGCAATGGCACGATCTCAGCTCACTGCAACCTCCACCTCCCGGGTTCAAGTGATTCTCATTTCTCAGCCTCCCAAGCAGCTGGTATTACAAGTGTGCACCATCAGGCCAGCTAATTTTTGTATTTTTAGTAGAGGCAGGGTTTCACCATGTTGGCCGGGCTAGTCTTGAACTCCTGACCTCACGTGATCCACCCACCTTGGCCTCCCTAAGTGCTGAGATTACAGGCCTGAACCGCCGCACCTGGACAGTGTTTTCTTTTCTTTTCTTTTGTTGAGATAGGGTCTCTGTCTGTTGCCCAGGCTGGAGTGCAGTGGTGCAATCATAGCTTGCTGAAGCCAGCCTCACCCTTCTGGGCTCAAACAATCCTCCCACCTCAGCCTCCTGAGTAGATAGGACTCCAGGTGTGCACTACTATGCCTGAAGAATTAAAAAAACAAAACAAAAAAAAACCTTTTTAAAGAGACAGGGTCTTGCTATGTTGCCCAGGCTGGGCCAGAAGGCTTTCTGAGGGTTCCTCTCTAGGCTCTGTGCTAGGCAGGGGACTTACCAAGCTATGTGTTTTGCTTTCTCTTGCAGGCCACAGCTCCCAGCCCACAGCAACCCAGACCTCTAGCTCTCAGGGTAAGACCAAACATGGCTCTACTCCAGCGTGTAGGCCTAGGAACTTAGGAAGGGTGAGAGGAGCTCTATGCCAATTTAGCCTTAACCTCAGGGGGCTGGGACTGTGGCTGGAGCAGGAGCTCTCAGGACTCACCAAAGCTGAGCTCATCTAAGAATTTTTTTTTTCAGCCTGGCCGAGTCTAATGTGCCTTGAAAGAAAAAAGAGGTGAATGGTTGGGAGTGAGGGGTGGGGAATGGGGTAGGGAGAAAGACACACAGATCTAGGGAAGAAGAGAGGGAGATGGAACAGTAGAAGGCCGTGCACCCCTCAGCCTCAGATGATCTGTTTCAGGAGGCCTCGGCAGTCTAAGTCCTACCACAGAGCCAGTTTCTTCCTACCCAGGTGAGTGAGTGCGGTTACTGAAGTCCCGGCTCCTGCCCCACATCCATTCATTCAGACCTGCTTGGAGCCCAGGGGTTCTTGGATGGGCGAGGGAGTGTGGTGTCACTAAACTTGCCCTACCTCCCACTCACCAACTGCTTCTGTCCTTGCAGGATACATCCCTTCCTCAGAGGCTAACAGCCCAAGCCATCTGGCCAGCACTGGTACGCCAGGTACTGTGTCATTCAGACTGCAAACGCCATCCAGGGAGGGCCCAGTGAAGACCCCGACACAGTTTCTGCTCTAAAAGAGAATATAGACCGGGGCGAGGGGGAACAGACAAGGAAACAGAACCTCACATTGATGATGACATGCAGGGTGAGAAGGGCTGCGGTGGGCACAAGCAGAAGTGTGGGAGCCCAGGTACATGTCAGTCACTTTGGACTTGGGGGCCAGGGATGACTCCCAGAAGCGGCTTCTGAAGCCAAGCTGAGAAGGGGTCAGCTGAGCACCTGGAGGCTGTGGGATGGAGAGTAGCGGGGCTTATTCCAGGCAGAGGGAACTGCCCAGAGGTGAACAAGAGAATGGCCCCTTCTGGAACTGGAAGCAGGAAAGAAGAGGAAGATTTTGGACTGAAGAGCCCTCCCGGTGCACAGGCCGGCCAAGGCCCTGAGCAGGCCCACATGTGCTTCCTCATTCACAGCAGCTCCAAAGAAGGCTGCGCAGGCCCCCATGGCACCCAGTAAACCTGTGACACCGAGGGCAGGCACTGCGGATGGGCTCTTCCTGACCTGGCTGGGCCTAACTTGGGCCAAGCCACAGATGCACACATCAGGACTTGTTGAGTGCCCAAGGCGAGGGGCAGCGGTGAAAAACACTGGGTTCCATCTGGATGGGTTCCTTCTGCCCTCTTCAGGAGGCCACAGGGGTCAGGACCGACATCAGTGGCACCCTGGCTCAGGAAAGAAAGAGGCTTGGTGGGGCATAGAGGCAGAAACTTGGGCCTGGTCACAATGAAGGTAAAAGGAGCTTAGACTTGAGACTGAGAAAGGCATAGCCAGAGAGGAGAGGGAGGGGAAGGATACCCCAAAATGAAGGAAAAGGAAGGCAGAAAAGGCCGGGAAAGGGCTAGAGTCCTCTCAGGCAGGGAAGATGGGCCTTTGCTTAGCAGCAAGGGAGAAGAGCTGCTGGGGGATGCCCCCATCTTGGTCATGCTGTTTCATGGTGCAGGCGCAGGTGTCCCCAGCAGTGGAAGAGGCGGAGGCACAAGCAGAGGTATGTCCTGCTGCGCTCACCCTGAAGAGCAGTGGGCAGGAGATGTCTGTGACCCTTTCTCTCATCTTATCTCTTGGCTCTCAGATTTTTTATTCTCCCAGACTTATTTGGGAAGGGGGAGTGAGGAGGGATAAGGAAGTGGAACAGCAATTGGGCCTGAAGTATGATGCGTTGAGGAGGGAAGACACAGGTGACATAGCACCTTTTTTGTTGTTGAGAAGGAGTCTTGTTCTGTCATCCAGGCTGGACTGCAGTGGTGCGATCCCGGCTCTCTGCAACCTCTGCCTCCTGAGTAGCTGGGATTACAGGCATGTGCCATCAGGCCTAGCTAGTTTTTTTGTTTTGTTTTGTTTTGAGACAGAGTCTTGCTCTGTCACTCAGACTGGAGTGCAGTGGCACAATCTTGCCTCACTGCAATCCCTGCCTCCCGGGTTCAAGCAATTCTCCTGCCTCAGTCACCTGGCTAGCTGGGACTACAGGCACACGTCACCATGCCTGGGTAATTGTGTATTTTTAGTAGAGATGGGATTTCACCATATTGCCAGGTTGGTCTCGAACTCCTGACCTCATGGTCTGCCCACCTTGGCCTCCCAAAGTGTTGGGATTACAGGCGTGAGCCACTGTGCCCGATTTTTTTTTTTTTTTTTTTTTTTTTTTTTTTTTTTAGGAGAGATGGGGTTTTACCATTTTGGCCAGGCTGGTCTCAAACTCCTGACTTCAAGTGATCCACCTGTCTCAGCTGCCCAAGGTACTGGGATTACAGGCATGAGCCACTGCACCAGGCCAGCATAGCACTTTTTAAGAGAGTCGGAAACCTTTGCCCTTAACAGGCAGCCTGGTTTGTTGGAGCCTTGCCTGAGCAGAAACGTTCCTCCCACCTCAACCCTGGCACAACACAGACAGCTCTATTTTGCCCAGTCTGACCTCATAGCTCTGCAGCATAACGTCCGGTCCTTCCCTAGGGGGAAGCGGGAGGGAAGCTAGCTCTCTCTGATAGGCTGTGTCAGTCCCCTTCACTGATGCCCCAACCCCACTCCATTTTAGACACATTTCAAAATGTTCCCCCCAATTCAACCACCATGAGCCTGAGCATGAGGGAAGATGCGACCATCCTGCCCAGCCCCACGTCAGAGACTGTGCTCACTGTGGCTGCATTTGGTGAGAGCGGGAGGAGAAGGTGGGACATAGAAGGGAACCCCACCCCTGGAATTGACCTGGACTCTAGGTCTGGAAACGCAAGTTCAAATTTCACCCATTTGTTCCAGGAGGTTCTGGCTTATGAGGAAGACCCTTGTGGGAGGGGGGCTCCTGCCCTCCAGTCCACTCTTCTTAGTTGTGCTGGGTTCCATGTTCTCGGGGGGATGGAGAGAGGGCGGCAGGCTGAGAGCTCACCTGTTCAGCAGAGAAGTGGAACTCACTTTGCTCCTGGAGCCTGTCTACAAAGTACTCAGCTGGGAAGGGAATGCCAGACTCTTGTTGGCCCCCGTTTTGTCGCCCCGACTGGCCCCCTTCACCCCATTCTTTTCTCTGTTCAGGTGTTATCAGCTTCATTGTCATCCTGGTGGTTGTTGTGATTGTCCTAGTCGGTGTGGTCAGCCTGAGGTTCAAGTGTCGGAAGAGCAAGGAGTCTGAAGGTGCGTACCCTGCCCTCAGGGACCCTTTTCCCCTCTGCTGGCAGACCCAGGGCTAGAGCCCCAGCTCACACCAGCCTGCATCTGGGGGAAGGAATGGCACATGAGTGCCTCTCCATGAGCGGGAGGGTCCCCTGGTGGGCTTTGAGAGGAAGGCTGGACTTGTGAGTTACAGCATGTGAGCCCCAATCCGTGCCTTTGGCTTTTACAGATCCCCAGAAACCTGGGAGTTCAGGGCTGTCTGAAAGGTAAGAACGTCAGAAGCATCTATCTGACACCCAGATCCTAACTCCCAGAGGGAACTCACACTTCCCGCCTTCCACACGCACACACCTACACCCCCACACATCACACACACACCCACACCCCCACACATCACACACACACCCACACACCTGAAACCCAACACACACCCTACACCTCACTACACACACCCACACACCACACACCACACACCCCCACACATCACACACACACCCACACACCTGAAACCCACCACACACCCTACACCTCACTACACACACCCACACACCACACACCACACACCCCCACACATCACACACACACCCACTCACCTCAAACCCACCACACACCCTACACCTCACTACACACACCCACACACCACACACCACACACCCCCACACATCACACACACACCCACACACCTGAAACCCAACACACACCCTACACCTCACTACACACACCCACACACCACACACCACACACCCCCACACATCACACACACACACACACACCTGAAACCCAACACACACCCTACACCTCACTACACACACCCACACACCACACAGCCCCACACATCACACACACACCCACACACCTGAAACCCACCACACACCCTACACCTCACTACACACACCCACACACCACACACCACACACCCCCACACATCACACACACACCCACACACCTCAAACCCACCACACACCCTACACCTCACTACACACACCCACACACCACACACCACACACCCCCACACATCACACACACACCCACACACCTGAAACCCACCACACACCCTACACCTCACTACACACACCCACACACCACACACCACACACCCCCACACATCACACACACACCCACTCACCTCAAACCCACCACACACCCTACACCTCACTACACACACCCACACACCACACACCACACACCCCCACACATCACACACACACCCACACACCTCAAACCCACCACACACCCTACACCTCACTACACACACCCACACACCACACACCACACACCCCCACACATCACACACACACCCACACACCTCAAACCCACCACACACCCTACACCTCACTACACACACCCACACACCACACACCACACACCCCCACACATCACACACACACCCACACACCTCAAACCCACCACACACCCTACACCTCACTACACACACCCACACACCACACACCCCCACACATCACACACATACCCACACACCTCAAAACCACCACACACCCTACACCTCACTACACACACCCACACACCACACACCACACACATTATACACATCACACACACCCACACACCTCAAACCCACCACACACCCTACACCTCACTACACACACCCAAACACCACACACCACACACATTATACACATCACACACACCCACACACCTCAAACCCACCACACACCCTACACCTCACTACACACACCCAAACACCACACACCACATGCATTATACACATCACACACACACCCACACACCTCAAACCCACCACACACCCTACACCTCACTACACACACCCAAACACCACACACCACACGCATTATACACATCACACACACACCCACACACCTGAAACCCACCACACACCCTACACCTCACTACACACACCCAAACACCACACACCACACACATTATACACATCACACACACACCCCATGTTATACATACCTCCCACACACCTCAAACACACCACATGCCCCATATCCCACTAGACACACATCTCACACACCACTCACACCACACACACACACCACCCCACACACATCAGACACACCACACACCCCACACCCCACTGCAGACACATACCCACACACCACACACACACACCCTACACATCACACACACCACACACACCCCATACATCACACACCACACACACCACACACACCCCATACATCACACACCACACACACACACCCCACACACACCTCAAACACACCACACACCCCACTACACACACACACACTACACACCCCACACCACACACATATCCCATATTATACACACACCACACACACACATCACAAACACACCATATACCCCACACACCACACATACCCCATACTATACACACACACCCACACACCTCAAACATACCACATGCCCCACATTCCCACACTACACACACACCCACACATCTCACACGCACCTCACATACCACACACCACACACATCTCATACTGTACACACCACCCTCACACACACTTCAAACACACCACATACCACACCCCCCACCCCCCACACACCACACATCCCCTACACATCACACACCACACACACCCCATACTATACACACCCCCAACACATACCACAAACACACCACACACTCCACACCCCACACTCCACACACATACCCACCTACCACACACACCCCACAAACCACACACACCCCATACTATACACCCCTCTACACACACACCTCAAATACACCACAGGCCTCATACCCCACACACCATACTCCACACACATACCACACACCACACACACCCCACACTATACACACACACACACACACACCACAAACCTACCACATACCCCACACCCCACACTATACACATATACCCACACACCCCACATATCATATACACACACTCCTACACACCACACACAACACATCCCACACCCCACACTACTCACACACACCCATACACTACACACACCCCCCACATACATTCACATACCACACACACTCCATACTATACACACACTCCCACATACACCACAAACACACAACACATCCCATACCCCACACTACACACACACCCACACACCACATACACCCCATGCACCACACACACACCCTATACTATACACACACATCCCACACACACCATAAACGCACAACATGCCCCATACCCCACACATCCACACCACAAACACACACCCCCCACACCCTACACTATACATACACACCACATACATACATCCTATACTACACACACACCCCCACACCCTATACCCTACACACCCACCCACACCATACCCACCCTTATACCCATACTATACACACCCACCCTCCCCACACACATACCCCACACACCCACCCAAACCACACACACACCACACATCCCATACCCCACTACACATACCCACATCACACACCCCACACCCCATACCCAACATACACACCCAAACAACACACATACACCACACAGCCACACTTCACACACATCCCCCCATACCATACACACACACCACACCACACAACACACACACACCCCATACCCTATACTACACACACACCACACACCTCATACTATACACACACACACCACACACCCACCCAAACCACACACACACCACAAACCCACATGCCACACAAAACACACACGTACCCCATATTATACATACACACAACATATACATCTCACACCACACACACCACACATACACCTCACACCACACACACCACACATACACACTCCCCCACACATCACATACACTATACATAACACTCCCATACCATACACACACACCCCACACACCGCATACCACACACACACCCCATACCACACATACCACACATGCATTACACCACACACACACACCCCCAACACCTCACACCACATATCCCATACCACACATATGCACCCCTCATTACCACATACACATCCCACACACATACAATCCTGACAGGCTCCCCTGAGGCCAGGGCTGTGGTGAGCAGGACAGGGGCAGACATGAAAAGGAATAATCAAATGACAGGAGATGGACTGAAACTCTTCAACCCAAGGGCTAAGCCTCTATAACCCCATCATGAAAAGTGTAGGAATTCAGATTCTAATACAAAAAGACATTCTCTCTAAGCTTAGGAACCACTTACTGAATACCTATTATGTGCCAAACACAATGGTATATATTTTATAATATTATCTCAAATCTGTATAGCAATCGTTCAAGGTATATATTACTTTTTTTTTTTTTTTTTGAGATGGAATCTTGCTCTGTTGCCCAGGCAGGAGTACAGTGGCACGATCTTAGCTCACTGCAACCTCCGCCTCCCAAGTTCAAGTGATTCTCCTACCTCAGCCTCCCAAGTAGCTGGGACTACAGGCATGCACCACCACACCCGGCTAATTTTTGTATTTTTAGTAGAGACACAGTTTCCCCATGTTGGCCAGGATGGTCTCAAACTCCTGACCTTGTGATCCACCCACCTCAACCTCCCAAAGTGCTGGGATTACAGGCATTAGCCACTACGCCCAGCCTCTTTTGTTTTCTTTCTTTTTTTTTTTTTTTTTGAAGGACAGGCTTGCTTTGTTGCCCAGGCTGGACTGCAATGATGCCAACAGGGATCAAATGATCCTCCCCCCTCAGCCTGTCAAGTAGCTGGGACTACAGGCATGTGCCACCATGTCCAGCTAATTTTTAATTTTTAAAATAGATATGGGATATCACTATGTTGCCCAGGCTGGTCTCAAACTCCTGGTCTCAGGTGATCCTTCTGCCTCAGCCTCCCAAAGTGCTGGGATTATAGGTGTAAGCCAAGACATTACTTCATTATACATTTTTAAAACTGAGGCTTTAGGCCGGGCGCAGTGGCTTACGCCTGTAATCCCAGCACTTTGGGAGGCCAAGGTGGGCGGATTATGAGGTCAGGGGTTCAAGACCAGCCTGGTAAACATGGTGAAACCCAGTCTCTACTAAAAATACAAAAATTAACTGGGTGTGGTGGCAGGTCCCTGTAATCCCAGCTACTTGGGAGGCTGAGGCAGGAGAATTGCTTGAACCCAGAGGCGGAGGTTGCAATGAGCTGAGGTAGTGCCACTGCACTCCAGCCTGGGTGACAGAGCAAGACTCCATCTCGGGGGGGAAAAAAAGTTGAGGCTTTGGCGGATGTGATGGCTCATGCCTGTAATCTCAGTACTTTGGGAGGCTGAGGCAGGTAGATTGTGTAAGCTCAGGAGGTCAAGGCTGCAGTGAGCTGTGATTGTGTCACAGCACTCCAGTCTGGGTGACAGAGCAAGACCCTGTCTCAATAAAAACTAAAAAAATAAAATTGAGGCTTTAATAGAGACTAACTTGGTAAAGATCAAACAAGTAGTAGGTAGTAACACCAAAATTTAAATGCAAGTCTTGGCCAGGCACAGTGGCTCACACCTGTAATCCCAGCATTTTGGGAGGCCAAGATGGCCAGATCCTTTGAGGTCAGGAGTTCAAGACCAGCCTGGCCAACATGGTAAAATCTTGTCTCTACTAAAAAATACAAAAATTAGCTGAGTGTGATGGCACGTGCTCGTGATCCCAGCTACTCAGGAGGCTGAGGCAGGAAAATCGCTTGAACCGGGGAGGTGGAGGTTGCAGTGAGCTGAGATCGTCCCATTGCACTCCAGCCTGGGCGACAGGCGAGACTCCATCTCTAAATAAATAAATAAATGCAGTCTTCTGGTCTTCAAAGCACACTCTCATTTCATTATGATTCACCACCAACATATAGATTTTTTGAGACAAAGGTCTAAGGCTCAACAACCTCATAGTTCCTTGACTCTCCATTGCCTTGCCCTCCTCCTGTCTTTAACCCAGACACCCTTCCTCCCCCAGCTGCTCCACAGCCAATGGAGAGAAAGATCGCATCACCCTTATCTCCATGAAGAACATCAACATGAATAATGGCAAACAAAGTCTCTCAGCAGAGAAGGTACATTTTTTGTTTCCTGCCTTCCTTCCCCAAATTCACCTTTCCCCTCCTCCTCCTCCTTTCAGGCCAGAAAGGAGATACTTTCAAAGACCCTGGCTCTTCTCCCCTTTTCTCTACCCCGCCACTCCTAAGAAGTTCACTCTTCCCCATTATGCATTTATTTTGCAGGTTCTTTAAAAGCAACTTTGGGTCCCCATGAGTCCAAGGATGATGCAGCTGCCCTGTGACTACAAGGAGGAAGAGATGGAATTAGTAGAGGCAATGAACCACATGTAAATTATTTTATTGTTTCATGTCTGCTCCCAGATCTAAAGGACACTAGCATTGCCCCAGATCTGGGAGCAAGCTACCAATAGGGGAGACACTTTCCTATATGGACAACTGCTGTGGAAATACTGCCTGCTTCTCCCACCTTCTCAGAGCCACAGGAAAGAGGAGGTGACAGAGCGAGAGCAAGGAAAGTGACGAGGTGGATTGATCCTTTCTACTTTGCATTAAAATTATTTTCTAGCCTGCAGTCTAATTACTTTTAAGGTCCATGCTCCCATGCACATTTCCTAACATAATGTTCTAGCAGCTTTTGGGCCTTCTTTCCAAGGCCAGACGTACATGCGGGTTTCTGCCTTATGGGCAGCTCTCTGAGAAACTTGGATGGTCGATAGAAGGGACTTTGCGTCAGGTTTTATCAGGTTCACCTGGGTGGTGGTGTTGTCACTTTTGTTTTTTTTCTTCAGATGGAGTCTCAGTCTGTCTCCCAGGCTAGAGTGCAGTGTTGTGATCTTGGCTCACCACAACCTCTGCCTCCCAAGGGTTCAAGTGATTCTCCTGGTTCAGCCTCCCAAGTAGCTGGAGCTACAGGTGTGTGCCACCATGCCTGGCTAATTTTTGTACTTTTTTAGTAGTGACGGGGTTTTACCATGTTGGTTACGCTGGTCTCGAACTCCTGACCTCAAGTGATCCACCTGCCTCAGCCTTCTAAACTGCTGGGATTACAGGTGTGAGCCACCACACCCAGTCATTTTGTTTGTTTGTTTGTTTGTTTGTTTTCTTCTTCTTTATACTAGCCCTGCTAAAGGAAAGCCTCAAAAACTTAGTTAAAAGCTCAAAGTTGCTCCTCTCCACAGGAATCTTTAGTAAAAGGTGAAAGATTTATATGATCTGAAGAGAAACCAGAGTATCACCTGGTTTATTCTTATTAGTAGGGCTGAGGCGACTGACTAACCACTCTAATAGAGGAGAGAAACGAGGGGCTGTAAACAGTGACCAGTCATCACCAAGAAAGTTTTGACTAGGAAATGCCAATGGGGAGAGGTGAATGAGATGAGGACAAATGTCCTCTGCCTGCCCCCAGGTAGACATGCATCACTTTGGTCTTAGCTATGGGATAAACACTGGGAAGGTTTGCGGTGAAGATAGGTCTGTGACTTCATCAACACAAACCCCACCCACTTTACCCCATACAACAGTTATCTTGTGTCCTAGATATAGAATAAAAGATTGTAGAAATACTGGAAAGTCATTTAAAGAGAAGGAGGAGAAGAAAGGAGGTGTCTGCTTTCTTAGTCATGTCTACCATGACATTAGTTTGGAAATGAATCTTGTGGAAAATTGAGGGACGAGTCATCCATGCGTGTCTTTCAGGAGTATTTAACTTTGTAAGTACCGCTAATTGGCAGTTTGGAACATAGGGAGAACACTGCTTACTCATTCTGAAGCAACAATATGCTATTTTTTCCTGATTCGGGCTTCTCAAGGCGATGAGAGAGACAGCCTAGAACAAAAAGTTTCATCTTCTCTGTCTCATTAAAACTATTAAAATGAGACTGTGGAAACCTAGTGAGCAGGGCATAGTGGCACATGCCTGTAATCCCAGCACTCTGGGAGGCCAAGGTGGGAGGATCGCTTGAGGCAGGAGTTCACGACAAGTGTATTAGACCATTTTCACACTGCTGTAAATAAATACTGGGTAATTTATAAGGAAAGAGGTTTAGTCGACTCACAGTTCCACATGGCTGGGGAGGCCTCACGAAACTTACAATCACAATGGAAGGGAAGCAGGCACCTTCTTCACAAGGCAGCAGGAGAAAGAGTGAGCAAGATCAGGGAAAACTGCCTTATAAAACTATAAGATCTCGTGAGAACTCACTACCATGAGAACAGCATGGAGGAAACCACTCCCATTATCCAATCACCACCCACCTGATCCCTCCCTCGACACGTGGGGATTATGGGGATTACAATTCAGGATGGGATTTGGATGGAGACACAGAATCAAACCATATCAACCAGCCTGGGCAACATGGCAAGCCCTTGTCTGTACAAAAAAATACAAAAATTAGCAAGGTGTAGTGGCACATACCTGTGGTCCCAGCTACTCAGGAGGCTGAGGTAGGAGGATCACTTGCTTCTGGGAGGTAGAGGCTGCAGTGAGCCATGGTTGATTGCACCACTCTCCTCCAGCCTGGGTGACAGGGTAAGGTGTGAAAGAAAAAAAAACAAAGGAAGAGGAAGAAGGAAGGAAGGAAGAGAGAAAGAAAGAAAAGAGAGAGAGAAAGAAAAGAAAGAGAGAGGGAGGGAGGGAGGGAAGGAAAGAAAGAAAAAGAAAGAAAGAAAGAAAGAAAGAAAGAAAGAAAGAAAGAAAGAAAGAAAGAAAGAAAGAAGAAAAAAAAAAAAGAAAAGAAGAGAACTTACTGTATTCTAAAATCTCCCAGGACAGGGCCTGTAACCTGCCCATGCCTGTAGCTCCTGTGTGACACACTGTGCCCAGCACTTCCTAGGTAATATAAACTGGCTCTTGGGTGAAGGAAATCTCGTCCTAAGATTGGGTTCTGCCACAGACTTGCAGGTTGACTTTGGGTGAAACTGTCCCCCTCCTCCAAGCCTGTTCTCTTACATTTTTACTTTTTTTTTTTTTTGAGACAGGGTCTCACTCCATCTCCCAGGCTGGAGTGCAGTGGTACAATCATGGCTCACTGCAGCCTTGAGTTCCTGAGCTCAACCAGTCCTCCTACCTCAGCCTCCTAAGTAGCTGGGACTCTTGGCATGAGCCACTGCACCTAGTTAATTTTTAAAAATTTTTTGTAGAGACAGGCTCTTGTCGTGTTGGCCAGGCTGATCTCAAACTCCTGAGCTCAAGTGATCCTCCTCCCTTGGCTTCCCAAAAGTGCTGGGATTACAGGCATGAGCTACTGTGCCTGGCGGGTTTTAAAGTGAGCTGGCTGGACAACTTGGCCTTCACTACCTTTTCTCATTCTTATATTCCACAGTTCTGTAGACTCTGGACATAAGAAAAAATGAATAATATGTGCTAAGTAGAGATCACTCTGGGTAGACAAGTCGCAGGCGACTCTGGACAAGCCTTTCACATTCTCAGGAGTTCCAATTCTCCTGTGTATTAACAGGGAAGAAGGTGTCCTACCTGGCCATTGCTACCTCACAGGCTAGTGACTAGGTAAAATGGGATAATAAATGTGGAGATACCTGGGAAGTGAGCAACTGTAACAGACAGCTTGGAGTAGGTCACCAGCACCCAGGTCCCACTTCAGGATCAAGGCACTTGTTCCCCTGCTGTGGGATTGTTGGCTGCTGAGGACTCACAGCTGGTTGATGATTGGCTGTGGGGATTGGGAGTGGGGATGAAGACCTGGACCCCCTGCCTCAATTACCTGGCCCCCATTCCTGCTTCCCTTACTCCTCACAGCTGTTGTTCCAGGAGTGCTCACCAAGAAACCTTTAGTACGCAAATCTCAGTGTCTCGGAGTCTATTTTGTGGGGTACCTAACCTATGAAAGCAATACTGCAGTATTTTTGTGGGGGAGGGAAGACAGGGCCTGGCTCTGCCTCCCAGGCTGGAGTGCAGTGGCATGGCACAATCACAGCTCACTGCAACCTCAAACTCCTGGGCTCAAATGATCCTCCTGCCTCAGCCTCCCAAGTAGCTGGGACTATAGACATGTGCCACCACGACCAGCCAATTTTTAAAAATTTTTTGTAGAAATGAGGTCCTGCTACGTTGCTCAGGCTGGTTACAAACTACTGGGCTCAAGAGATCCTCCCACCTCGGCCTCCCAAATTTCTGGGATTACAGGTGTGAGCCACACCTGGCTAGTTTTGTTTTGTTTTGTTTTTTTTGAGATGGAGTTTCACTCTTGTTGGCCAGACTGGAGTACAATGGTATGATCTCCACTCACTGCAACCTCTGCCTCCCAGGTTCAAGCAAGTCTCCTTCCTCAGCCTCCTGAGTAGCTGGGATTACAGGTGCCTGCCACCACGCCTGGCTAATTTTGTATTTTTAGTAGAGACGGGGTTTCACTATGTTGGGCAGGCTGGTCTCGAACTCCTGACCTCAGGTGATCCGGCCACCTCAGCCTTCCAAAGTGCTGGAATTACAGGCGTGAGCCACCGCGCCCAGACTTGGCTAGTATTTTTTAAATAATTCATATATATTTGATTTAAATCTCACAGCCAACAGCACATGACTTACTAGCCAGTTCTGGTCCAACATCCACCATTGGGATGGAACTCCTCAGATGACATAACAATGCCTAGGATTCTGTTTGTGCTGTTGTTATTCTGCCTGCCATGGGCACTCAGTTCAGCTGCTCATCATACTGGACTAATCAGGTCAAGGACATGGGGCTTCACTCTAGGTAACTCAGCTGACATCTTCATTATAAAACCACACATTTTCCTCTGACTCTGGGCAATGACCTGCATATATAAGCTGTTAGTCATAAGGTATTTATATGTGGGGGAAGAGGGAGAGAACTGGTATTAATAATCTATGAGATTGAAAGGATTTTACTCTGACACTGACACTGTACCCTGACACTACCACATGAGCCATGTGGATTTTCCTGTTGCTAAGTAACTCTTTCCTTTGGGAAAGGGTTGAGGATGAATTTAATGCTGAATTCTGCTCTGGAGCAAATTCTAGTAGAGAGGTTTCTCCTGGAGGAGCCTACTATTTATGCAAATTCGAGACCCCACCTCTGACAGGAAATCTGAGTGCAGCCTTCTGCAGCCCTTGCAGCTTCTCTGAAACCCTCTCTTCCTTCATTTCTAGACAACAGGATGATGATTGTTTACAAGATGATTTCCTCCCTTTTCTCACACAGGACTACATGGTCCTTAAACAGGAACAGATGGTGGGGATGGGGGGCTTGCTGCAGAATGTCCTTCTCTCATTTCTTCCCCCATCCTATGGGAGGGCAACCAATAAACCAGCTCAGACACACAGGCCCAGTGGGATCATTTACTCAGCTTCTTTCTTCTAGGGCTGGATGGGGCAGCATCTCAACCATATAGGGCACAGGACAAACCTCAGTATCACCAGCAAGAATCCACTACTGTTCAATACGTAAGTAAGTGGAGGCTGGGCATGGTGACTCATGCCTGTAATTCCAACACTTGGGAAGTCCCCGGGGGCAGGATCACTTGAACCCAGGAGTTCCAGACCAGCCTGGGTAACATAGTGAGATACCACATCTAAAAAAAAAAAAAAAAAAAAAAAGCTGGGCATAG